TCTCTACTAAAAAATAAAAAAAATCTAGCCAGGCGAGGTGGCGGGCACCTGTAGTCCCAGCTACTTGGGAGGCTGAGGCAGGAGAATGGCATAAACCCGGGAGGTGGAGCTTGCAGTGAGCCGAGATCCTGCCACTGCACTCCAGCCTGGGTGACAGAGCGAGACTCCGTCTCAAAAAAAAAAAAAACTATCCTAGTAAAGAAGAGAAATTCCAAGGGCTTCTGGTGGGCTCTACCTACCATTAACAATCTTCATTCCACAGATCAGGGAGTCAATGTGGATTATTGAGTATGTCTATTCCAATCATACGGTCAAGAACTGCGGAAATGACCATAGGTGGTCGATGGAACTGCCAGGCCCACAGTGGGACAGACTTTGGCCAAAACTCCATTTTTTTTTTTTTTACCTACTCACCATAAGCCCCTAGTTTGTGACACGTGGACTACAGTGGTATTTTGTGTTGGCAGAAATTATCATCATCTAATTAGACCCTGCAACGGACTAAATGTTTATGTTCCCCCAAAATTCATCTGCTGAAATCTTTTTTCTTTTTGTGACAGAGTCTCACTCTGTCACCCAGATTGGAGTACAGTGGCACAATCTCAGCTCACTGCAACCTCTGCTTCCTGGGTTCAAGTGATTCTCTTGCCTTAGCCTCCTGAATAGCTGGCCTTACAGGCGTGCACCACCACGCCCAGCTAATTTTTGTATTTTTAGTAGAGACAGGGTTTCACCATGTTGGCCAGGCTAGTCTCAAACTCCTGAACTCAAGTGATCTGCCTGTCTCGGCCTCCCAAAGTGCTGGGATTACAGGTGTGAGCCACCTCACCTGGCCCTTTTTTTTTTTGGAGGGGGGTTGTGGACAGAGTCTCAGTCTATCGCCCTGGAGTGCAGTGGTGCAATCTTTGCTCACTGCAACCTCTGCCTCCAGGGTTCAAGTGATCCTCATGCTTCAGCCTCCCGAGTAGCTGGGATTACAGGCACATGCCACCAAGCCCAGCTAATTTTCATACTTTTAGTAGAGATGGGGTTTCTCCATGTTGGCCAGGCTGGACTCGAACTCCTGACCTCAAGTAATTCGCCTGCCTCAACCTCCGAAAGTGCTGGGATTACAGGCATGAGCCATCGCACCTGGCCTCATAAGCTGAATTTTTTTTTTTTTTTTGGAGACGGAGTCTTGCTCTGTCACCCAGGCTGGAGTGCTAGAGTGCAGTGGCATGATCTCCGCTCACTGCAACCTCTGCCTCCCGGGTTCAAGTGATTTTCCTGCCTCAGCTTCCTGACTAGCTGGGACTACAGGCGCACGTCACCATAACTGGCTTTTTTTTGCATTTTAGTAGAGATGGGGTTTCACCATGTTGCCCAGGCTGGTCTCAAACTCCTGAGCTCAGGCAATCTGCCTGCCTCGGCCTCCCAAAGTGCTAGGATTACAGGCATGAGCCACCAAACCCCCAAGGTAATGGCATTTGGAAGCCTTTGGCAGGTGATCAGGTCATGAGGGCCCTGCCCTCACGAATGGGATTAGTGCCATTATAAAAGAGATCCCCAGAGAGATGCCTTGCCTCTTTCATCATGTAAAGCTATAGTGACAAGACGGCTGTCTCTGAGGAACAGGCCCTCACCCAACACTGACTCTGCCAACACCTTGATCTTGGACTTCCCAGCCTCCAGAACGGTGAGAAATAAATTTCTATTGTTTATAAGCTGCCCAATCTATGGTATTTTGTTATAGCAGCCCGAACAGACCAAGACAGAGCCAGTATCTAGCACTCCTCAAAAGACACACATTCACTTTAGTAAATAGTTACAGGTACCTTGGGTGCCAGCACTGGAGAATCCTTTCTCAAGGAAACCTGATCCCCTTTCCACTGTGGGGCTCTAGGGCTATGAACTGGCTTCAGTCCACCTAGGTGAAAAGTTACAACTTCCTATTATGGGCACTTAAGTTGAGTTTCTTTTTTTGAGACGGAGTCTCGCTCTGTCGCCAGGCTGGAGTACAGTGGTGCCATCTCAGCTTACTGCAACCTCCGCCTCCTGGTTCAAGCGATTCTCCTGCCTCAGCCTCCTGAGTAGCTGGCACTACAGGCTCGTGCCACTATGCCCAGCTAATTTTTGTGTTTTTAGTGGAGACGGGGTTTCACCATGTTGGCCAGGATGGTTTTGATCTCTTGACCTTGTGATCCACCTGCCTCAGCCTCCCAAAGTGCTGGGATTAGAGGCATGAGCCACTGCGCCTGACCAAGTCGAGTGTCTACAATTAGAAATATTTTCTGTTATAATGATGAATCAAATAATATTTCAATAAGCCACCTGTTTCATCCCTGGGGATGCCATGATTAATTAATCACCCATGAGATTCCCTACAGGTCATAACATTCTGATTGCCACTGTGTTCTTGTTGCCCATGGTGGTCCTTATGTCCACCTTGTCTGGAATTTTTTTTTTTTTTTTTTTT